CTGGTGCTTTTAGGTATATGGCGATCCCCGGCGGTTCTAGTGTTAAAGGCATTTCGCGATTTTAGTCATCATACAGTAACCAGCAACAACCACCCCTTCTCTCGGTGCTTGTAATGATTTCTGCGTCTTTCTCGGACTGTTTTGCATGCTTCCACACTGCCGTCATGTTTGTTGCATTAGAGCGCGCCTCTAGTAGATCGCGTCACGTCATTGTTCGGTACAATTGATTCGGTCCTTTCGCTTATTACACCGAAAGAGCTTTTGTAGCTATTTTCGGCCGAATAATTCAGTGCATCCCTACTCAAAATCACAAACACCACAGTCTCTGGTTCATTTATGAAGACCCACCTGCAAGACACCCTTCTCCGAACGAGTGTATAAAATGTTCCTTGAATTATCAACAGCAATTTGGACAACGGAATCTGGAAAAAAAAGACACGATTGAATTTGAAACATCAATTGGGCTGATTCAGTCTGCTGAAGGACACTCTTACCGTCCTCGGAGAAGGAGAACTGCAGCAGTGAAGGGATGAGGAAGGACAGGCTGCTCTTGGAGTGGTTGATCTTCCTGCAGCGCTGACTGAACCAGCCCGCTTCAGCCTGATAGGCGATCTCGTACAGACAGCCGTCTTTCCCCGCCATGAAGACGCGGCCCACATCCGTGGAGGTGATGGCTAGGAGGTAGGTGTTATCCGTGGGGATGGAGTAGAGAGGATCTGGCAACAGCTGCATGGCTCCTGACATGCTGTCATTCAGACCTGCCGCACACAAACGCAGACTGAGAATTAGGGCTGTCAAAAAAAATAAAAAATTTGAATTTCGAATATTCGTCGAATTGAAAATAAAAATCCGCATTCCACAATTTTAGGAGTGCGTTAAGGAGGCAGCCTTATCAGTGGCGCACGAGATGCGATGACGATGTAGTGTTGCATTATAATGCATTTGTTAGCCTATCCAGTTGAAGCCACTAGATGCGGCGCTGCTGCGCTGTTAATTAAAAATATTGCGGGAAAAGAGAACTAGAACTTTCTAGAAGGACATCTATCACTGCTGCACTCGCACAAACGAGTGTTTAGAAAGCCATGTAAAAAAAAAAATTCCTGGCAACAGCTGCATGGCTCCTGACATGCTGTCATTCAGACCTGCCGCACACAAACGCAGACTGAGAATTAGGGCTGTCAAAAAAAATAAAAAATTTGAATTTCGAATATTCGTCGAATTGAAAATAAAAATCCGCATTCCACAATTTTAGGTGTGCGTTAAGGAGGCAGCCTTATCAGTGGCGCACGAGATGCGATGACGATGTAGTGTTGCATTATAATGCATTTGTTAGCCTATCCAGTTGAAGCCACTAGATGCGGCGCTGCTGCGCTGTTAATTAAAAATATTGCGGGAAAAGAGAACTAGAACTTTCTAGAAGGACATCTATCACTGCTGCACTCGCACAAACGAGTGTTTAGAAAGCCATGTAAAAAAAAAAATTCTCCACTGCAACTCGTGTTTTTAAATGAAAAATGTACTCTGTGTGATTGGCTTTTGGCCCTTTGTATTAAACTATGCATGCATACATGATGCTGTTTTGTTTATAGTTGTTTAAGCAACTTAATTATAATTGGCTTATAAACATTATGCACTTTTTTCACAGACAGTAATGTTATCTTATGCTTTGAATAAATGTGCATTAGTAATATTTTGCGCCCTCATGTGGCCTCAGGAGAGAAGCCAAAAGCTTTTCTTCACCCTAACTGAAATTATGCATTTCAATTCGAATTTTGATAATATTTAAGTAAAAAATTCTAATTTACTGAGAACGAATCCAACATGTGACAATGCTGATTAAATCACATCCAAACATGACACTCACCTGTGTGGGCTTTCGGGAAGCTCAAGCCCAGGATCACGACATCCACCGGTGTGGCCAACACTAACAGGAAGTGGATGTGAGGCTGAAAAATACCTGTAACGCACAAAAGAGGCTGGCTGAGGTAGCTAGTAATACAAAAAAGTGACTGACTCTTGAAACAGTATGAGATTTTTTTTTTTTAAGACTCTGGGCTTAGTTTGCTTTCCTCTCCCTATTAATGGCTGTTTATTTATAAACTCATGCTTTTTTATTATTAAAAATCATACTTTTTATTTATGTATAAATTCCCATAAATTACATAAATTGATTTTAAAAATAGTAATTATAATAGTAATCAAACTTTTTTAATTTTTATAATTTTATAATTTGGTGTTTTACCACAATCTTGTTTTTATATTACAAATATGGTATTGAGATGGGTAATCTTTGTTGTTAAACATAAGAGTAAATATAAACAAAAAATATTAGAATTTATTAATAATATATAAATTAAACAACAAATAATATAAATTATATAGAGAGTAAATAAGCAAAAATGTAAACACACACACACACACATACATATATATAAACATTAATAAACAAACGTAGCATCATAAAAAGCGCCCATCCATAAAAATAAAAACAAAGTGCCTCACACGGCTCCGGGGGGTGAACAAAGGCCTCCTGTAGCGAATCGATGCGTTTTTGTATGAAAAATATCCATATTTAAAACGTAATAATCACTTTAATGTCACTTGCGCACACTGTTGTACACAGAAGCCGCTCCGGGAGCATGACGTATGAGTTCAGCGCTGCGCACGCCCGGAGCGGCTTCTGTGTACAACAGTGAGCGCAAGCGACATTAAAGTGATTATTATGTTTTAAATATGGATATTTTTCATACAAAAACACATTGATTCGCTACAGGAGGCCTTTGTTCACCCCCCGGAGCCGTGTGAGGCACTTTGTTTTTATTTTTATGGATGGGCGCTTTTTATTTCACTTCTTTTGGACTGAAGCACCGTAACACCCGCTGAGTGCAATGATAGAGCTTGGCATAGCCAGGACATTTTTTAATATAACTCCGACTGGATTCGTCTGAAAGAAGAAAGTCACATACACCTAGGATGCCTCGGGGGTGAGTAAAACACAGCCTAATTGTCATTTTTGGGTGAACTAACCCTTTAACAGGACAGACCGAATCTCTTACTGTGTGACGGGACATTGAGGAGCTCGGACAGGTCCGGGACACAGCGATCCTCCTGCAGATGCCGGTCAACCAAGCGGCTGGAGTTTTCCAAAGCCTCCTGAAGAACGGCGGCCGGACTGCTGGAGCCCAGACCGGACGGCATGATCACTGCAGACTACAAACCACCTGCAGAGAGAACAACAGCTATTATTATTATATATTATTATTTAAATTCATTAATATATTTATAATACATTATAATCAGTAATGCCATATATTACAACAATGTTTAAAATATATTATAATTTATTTTAATAATTTTACAATTATATATATATATACTGCTGTTCAAAAGTTTGGGATCAGTAAGATTTGTAATGTTTTTTTAAGGAAGCCTCTTGTGCTCATCAAGGCTGCATTTATTTGATCAGAAATACAGAAAAAACTGTAATATTGTGAAATATTATTACTATTTAAAATAACAGTTTTCTATTTTAATATACTTTAAAATAGAATTTATTTCTGTGATGCGCAGCTGTATTTTCAGCATCATTACTCCAGTCTTCAGTGTCACATGATCTTCAGAAATCAGTATAATATGCTGCTTTGTTATTAATATTAGAAACTGTTTTTGCTGCTTAATATCTTTTTTCAGGACTCTTTGATGAATAAAGTTAAATCTGTATTTTAATGATGCTGAAAATTCAGCTTTGCACCACAGAAATAAATTATATTTTAAAGTATATTAAAATAGAAAACTGTTATTTTAAATGGTAATAATATTTCACAATATTACAGTTTTTTCTGTATTTCTGATCAAATAAATGCAGCCTTGATGAGCAGAAGAGGCTTCCTTAAAAAAACATTACAAGTCTTACTGATCCCAAACTTTTGAACAGCAGTGTGTGTATATATATATGCATAAATATTTGTGTGTGTGTGTGTGAAATAACACTAAATAAATATACATACCACATTAAACACATAAAACAACAAATGCATTAAAATATATACAAATACACACTTGAAACCCCCAAGCTAAGAGTTTAGATTAAAGAATAACTAATGTGAAAATACTAGAATCATGAAACATTGCATTTAACTCACCTGTGACTGTATGACCATATCCAATCATAATATACAAACAAAGAGCTTTTATTTACCTGATCTGAAAATAAACACGCTGTGTTGTTAAATTAAGTTTAAATGAATCAGGCATGTTGAGTAGCTTAGCTTTAGCCGCACAGCTAACTCAAGACACAGAGCCGCCGAGAGACGGACCTTTATTCTCCAAAGCGCTTTACTCGAGCTCTGACTGAACACTGCATCAAATAAACTCACCTTTTATCAACTATATTCATAAAATATCAGCTGAAAGTGAAAGAAGAAAGTGAGCGTGTGTACTTCAGCGCCTCCCGCCGAGCGCGTGGGACTGCAGCGAGCCGGAAACAGTGTCGCCTTTCAAAATAAAAGTCTCCAGATTCTCCTGCAGAGGCTGGCTGAGACTTACCAGCTCTAGACTAAAGAAATAAACTAGACTATTGTCTAAGCCTACATTCAAGCTGTCTACTGTTTTTCTGACATGTTCGTGTTTTATCTTTCACTTGGATGCTATAAGTTGCACAGCTGGATAAAACGAAAACTGTGTCCGTCTTTCAGGCTGCAAAGCAACAAAATGTGATCATTTTTCAATACCCACTTTATGCAAACATTTACAGCCCAGCAAACACAGAACGTTCCTCTAACGTTAGTTTTTGGTTCCTGTTTTGTTTGTTTTTTGAGAACCAAGAAATAACGTTCTGGGAATGTTATAATAACGTTAGATTAACGTTAGAATAACGTTCTGGGAACCAAAAAAACAATGTTCTGCGAACATTATAATAACGTTAGTGGAGCGTTAGATTAACGTTAGAATAACGTTCTGGGAACCAAAAAAACAATGTCCTGCGAACATTATAATAACGTTAGTGGAGCGTTAGATTAACGTTAGAATAACGTTCTGGGAACCAAAAAAACAATGTTCTGCGAACATTATAATAACGTTAGTGGAGCGTTAGATTAACGTTAGAATAACGTTCTGGGAACCAAAAAAACAATGTCCTGCGAACATTATAATAACGTTAGTGGAACGTTAGATTAACGTTAGAATAACGTTCTGGGAACCAAAAAAACAATGTCCTGCGAACATTATAATAACGTTAGTGGAACGTTAGATTAACGTTAGAATAACGTTCTGGGAACCAAAAAAACAATGTCCTGCGAACATTATAATAACGTTAGTGGAACGTTAGATTAACGTTAGAATAACGTTCTGGGAACCAAAAAAACAATGTCCTGCGAACATTATAATAACGTTAGTGGAACGTTAGATTAACGTTAGAATAACGTTCTGGGAACCAAAAAAACAATGTCCTGCGAACATTATAATAACGTTAGTGGAACGTTAGATTAACGTTAGAATAACGTTCTGGGAACCAAAAAAACAATGTCCTGCGAACATTATAATAACGTTAGTGGAACGTTAGATTAACGTTAGAATAACGTTCTGGGAACCAAAAAAACAATGTCCTGCGAACATTATAATAACGTTAGTGGAACGTTAGATTAACGTTAGAATAACGTTCTGGGAACCAAAAAAACAATGTCCTGCGAACATTATAATAACGTTAGTGGAACGTTAGATTAACGTTAGAATAACGTTCTGGGAACCAAAAAAACAATGTCCTGCGAACATTATAATAACGTTAGTGGAACGTTAGATTAACGTTAGAATAACGTTCTGGGAACCAAAAAAACAATGTCCTGCGAACATTATAATAACGTTAGTGGAACGTTAGATTAACGTTAGAATAACGTTCTGGGAACCAAAAAAACAATGTCCTGCGAACATTATAATAACGTTAGTGGAACGTTAGATTAACGTTAGAATAACGTTCTGGGAACCAAAAAAACAATGTCCTGCGAACATTATAATAACGTTAGTGGAACGTTAGATTAACGTTAGAATAACGTTCTGGGAACCAAAAAAACAATGTCCTGCGAACATTATAATAACGTTAGTGGAACGTTAGATTAACGTTAGAATAACGTTCTGGGAACCAAAAAAACAATGTCCTGCGAACATTATAATAACGTTAGTGGAACGTTAGATTAACGTTAGAATAACGTTCGGGGAACCAAAAAACAATGTCCTGCGAACATTATAATAACGTTAGTGGAACGTTAGATTAACGTTAGAATAACGTTCGGGGAACCAAAAAACAATGTCCTGCGAACATTATAATAACGTTAGTGGAACGTTAGATTAACGTTAGAATAACGTTCGGGGAACCAAAAAACAATGTCCTGCGAACATTATAATAACGTTAGTGGAACGTTAGATTAACGTTAGAATAACGTTCGGGGAACCAAAAAACAATGTCCTGCGAACATTATAATAACGTTAGTGGAACGTTAGATTAACGTTAGAATAACGTTCTGGGAACCAAAAAAACAATGTCCTGCGAAACATTATAATAACGTTAGTGGAACGTTAGATTAACGTTAGAATAACGTTCTGGGAACCAAAAAAACAATGTCCTGCGAAACATTATAATAACGTTAGTGGAACGTTAGATTAACGTTAGAATAACGTTCTGGGAACCAAAAAAACAATGTCCTGCGAAACATTATAATAACGTTAGTGGAACGTTAGATTAACGTTAGAATAACGTTCTGGGAACCAAAAAAACAATGTCCTGCGAAACATTATAATAACGTTAGTGGAACGTTAGATTAACGTTAGAATAACGTTCTGGGAACCAAAAAAACAATGTCCTGCGAAACATTATAATAACGTTAGTGGAACGTTAGATTAACGTTAGAATAACGTTCTGGGAACCAAAAAAACAATGTCCTGCGAACATTATAATAACGTTAGTGGAACGTTAGATTAACGTTAGAATAACGTTCTGGGAACCAAAAAAACAATGTCCTGCGAACATTATAATAACGTTAGTGGAACGTTAGATTAACGTTAGAATAACGTTCTGGGAACCAAAAAAACAATGTCCTGCGAACATTATAATAACGTTAGTGGAACGTTAGATTAACGTTAGAATAACGTTCTGGGAACCAAAAAAACAATGTCCTGCGAACATTATAATAACGTTAGTGGAACGTTAGATTAACGTTAGAATAACGTTCTGGGAACCAAAAAAACAATGTCCTGCGAACATTATAATAACGTTAGTGGAACGTTAGATTAACGTTAGAATAACGTTCTGGGAACCAAAAAAACAATGTCCTGCGAACATTATAATAACGTTAGTGGAACGTTAGATTAACGTTAGAATAACGTTCTGGGAACCAAAAAAACAATGTCCTGCGAACATTATAATAACGTTAGTGGAGTGTTAGATTAACGTTAGAATAACGTTCTGGGAACCAAAAAAACAATGTCCTGCGAACATTATAATAACGTTAGTGGAGTGTTAGATTAACGTTAGAATAACGTTCTGGGAACCAAAAAACAATGTCCTGCGAACATTATAATAACGTTAGTGGAGTGTTAGATTAACGTTAGAATAACGTTCTGGGAACCAAAAAACAATGTCCTGCGAACATTATAATAACGTTAGTGGAGTGTTAGATTAACGTTAGAATAACGTTCTGGGAACCAAAAAACAATGTCCTGCGAACATTATAATAACGTTAGTGGAGTGTTAGATTAACGTTAGAATAACGTTCTGGGAACCAAAAAACAATGTCCTGCGAACATTATAATAACGTTAGTGGAGTGTTAGATTAACGTTAGAATAACGTTCTGGGAACCAAAAAACAATGTCCTGCGAACATTATAATAACGTTAGTGGAGTGTTAGATTAACGTTAGAATAACGTTCTGGGAACCAAAAAACAATGTCCTGCGAACATTATAATAACGTTAGTGGAGTGTTAGATTAACGTTAGAATAACGTTCTGGGAACCAAAAAAACAATGTCCTGCGAACATTATAATAACGTTAGTGGAGTGTTAGATTAACGTTAGAATAACGTTCTGGGAACCAAAAAAACAATGTCCTGCGAACATTATAATAACGTTAGTGGAACGTTAGATTAACGTTAGAATAACGTTCTGGGAACCAAAAAAACAATGTCCTGCGAACATTATAATAACGTTAGTGGAGTGTTAGATTAACGTTAGAATAACGTTCTGGGAACCAAAAAAACAATGTCCTGCGAACATTATAATAACGTTAGTGGAACGTTAGATTAACGTTAGAATAACGTTCTGGGAACCAAAAAACAATGTCCTGCGAACATTATAATAACGTTAGTGGAACGTTAGATTAACGTTAGAATAACGTTCTGGGAACCAAAAACTAACATTCTATTTCCGTTAAGAAAACTTTCCTGTCTAACCAAAAACAAACCATAAAAACTAATGTTCTGGGAACCAAAAATTGTTAGCTGGGTGTTCGCTATGCCTTTTTTTTGTTTTTATATGTTTATAATTTGTATGTTCCTGTTCTCTGCAATTAAAAAAAATAATAATAATAATAATAATGCGTGTAGCGATCCACAAATGCACAGAAAGCCATTCACAAATATACGGGGAAGCAAATTTGCAAATCTCATTTTATTTATTTGCGAATTTAATTCATGTTTGTGGAACTCTATTTGTGGATCTCATTCTACATGTTTAATTTTTGTTCATCTCTTTACATTTAGGCTATTTATGCATCATAATCTATTTATTTGGAATAATGCAATCTATCTCCAAACAAACACTGTGATGCGTCGCAGGCTGCATGTATCCATAAACGACGGTGATTGGCGCTCGTGTGACCAATAGCAGCAGGTCTGACCGACACATAAACATCATCCTTATGCACTAGAAGCGCTGCTAAACTACAGCATCCCGACAGAGATCGGATGGCACCGGGACGGGCGAGATCGGTCCGATGATCGGCGCTATATCGGTCATTAATGCGGCGCGGTGCTGATGCGAGTCGCCACACCCTGCGCGCGCAGCTCTGACTCACGAGGACGGTCTGTCATCCTGCGCACATTCATCCCTCGCACGAGCGGCACGGCAAGGCATCGCAGCGGACAGCAGCCATGGCAGGTGAGCCGTTCAGCTTCATCTGTGCAAAAACAGCGTCAGGGTGAGCTCTGGATGAGCATCTGTGTGTGTTTGTTTACAGAATCGGAGACGCGTCAGAGGCTGCTGCGCAACGTCAAGAAGGAGGTGGGAGATTTTCTGCGTGTGTCTCATTGTTTATCAGATATTGATTAGATGATCGATAGAGGCTGTCGGTTGCAGGTGCTAAATGTGCACACACACACACACACACACACACGTCTGATGATGATGATAATACCCCAGCGCACATCTGCTCATTAGACTGTCGTGCACTGTGTGTGTTTATAAAGAGGATGCATCTAAACAAAGTCATTCTGGTTTGTCCTCTTTGTGTCATCATGTCATCAGCCATTTGCTTTCTTAAGGAGGTCGATGTGATATTGTCTTTGTGGTTGTATGGTACTGTGATCGAATCAGATAATGGCATGGTAATAGTAAAAATCATGGTTGTGATAGATGGCATGTATTTGTTACAGTACTGGGCATCATCTCTGTCAATCATTCATTTTAGTCAATTATAATCACATTTACAGTGCTTATTAAGAGCATAATGCAATAGAAAGACAATCTAAACAAAATCGGAGTGGTTTTTACTCCTTAATGTAAAGTTATTATTCTTTATAATACAATAAAGTATCATGGTACATTGATAGAAGCACATGATAATACCCTGGTACTTTAAATATATATATATACATACATATATATATACACACACACACACACACACACACACACATACATACATATATACACACACACACACACATAAATATATATATATATACACACACACACACACACACACACACACACACACACATATATATATATATACACACACACACACACACACACACATAAATATATACTGTATATATATACACACACACACACACATATATATATATACACACACACACACACACACATAAATATACACACACACACACACACACATACAGTGGGTACGGAAAGTATTCAGACCCCCTTAAATTTTTCACTCTTTGTTATATTGCAGCCATTTGCTAAAATCATTTAAGTTAATTTTTTTCCTCATTAATGTACACACAGCACCCCATATTGACAGAAAAACACAGAATTGTTGACATTTTTGCAGATTTATTAAAAAAGAAAAACTGAAATATCACAGCTAAAATAATGAAGGAGTGGCTTCACAACAACTCTGTGACTGTTCTTGAATGGCCCAGCCAGAGCCCTGACTTAAACCCAATTGAGCATCTCTGGAGAGACCTAAAAATGGCTGTCCACCAACGTTTACCGTCCAACCTGACAGAACTGGAGAGGATCTGCAAGGAGGAATGGCAGAGGATCCTCAAATCCAGGTGTGAAAAACTTGTTGCCTCTTTCCCAAAAAGACTCATGGCTGTATTCGATCAAAAGGGTGCTTCTACTAAATACTGAGCAAAGGGTCTGAATACTTAGGACCATGTGATATTTCAGTTTTTCTTTTTTAATAAATCTGCAAAAATGTCAACAATTCTGTGTTTTTCTGTCAATATGGGGTGCTGTGTGTACATTAATGAGGAAAAAAAATTAACTTAAATGATTTTAGCAAATGGCTGCAATATAACAAAGAGTGAAAAATGTAAGGGGGTCTGAATACTTTCCGTACCCACTGTATATATATATATATAATGTAACTGTATAAGCATCCATAATATAAATTAATACCTTGAGTCATTATATAAATATATTATATAAGCCTTTATTAGTTAATAAATAATTAGAATATAATAAATACCATATAAATTATAATATAGCATATAAAAATAAAAACTCGAATTTCTATGCTTTTCTAAAATATAAATAACAAATAAATATATTGATATAATATAATACATATATGTTAATATATTATAATATAACAAACAATATAAATAATTATTAGTGCTGTCAAATCGATTAATCGCGATTAATCGCATCCAAAATAAAAGTTTTTGTTTACATAATATATGTGTGTACTGTATATATATATATATGTATTATTTATATATAAATATACACACATGCATGTTTATATTTAAGAAAAATATATGTTATGTTTAAATATTAAATATATTTATATATAATTTGAATATAAAAATTTTAATATTTTCAAAATATATACTGTATGTGTGTATTTATATAAACATAATAAATATATACAGTACACACATATTATGTAAACAAAAACTTATTTTGGATGCGATTAATCGATGTGACAGCACTAATAATAATATAGAATATTAAATAAAACCTTGAGTTACTATATAAATAAAACCTTCATGAATTAATACATAATTATAATGTAATGTAATATATAACAATATAAATACTAATATAGCTCATAAAATAAAGACTTGAGCCACTACAAATGTCCTTATATTAGCCTAATCATATGATTATCTTGATCTTTATGTCAGTAATTCATATTAATAAAATACATTCATTTTTACAGTAATTATTAAGTGTGTAACTCACTGTTTAATACAAAGACCATCTAAATAAAGTCATTCTGGTTTTTATTAAAATTAATTATAATTAATCAGCCTAAATGTACATTTTAGAATATGTAGAAAAAAAAAATGAAATAAAATAAAATATAAACTTTTTTATTTCAGCTATTTGCCAAGGCAACATTTTCTCAATTTAATACAGTTTAACTTCATGTACTAAAATAACTAATCAGCTCTCTCTCAGTGTGTGTGTATGATTGTGTGTGTGTGTGTTTGTGTGTGTGTGTGTGTGTGTGTGTGTGTGTGAGACAGTATGGTGAGTGGGCTGCTGAAAGGACACCTGATGACTCGGGTTCACTCATCTGACTGATGGCACACACATCATCCGTTTGTCAAACCACCTCCAACTTACACGTGTGTGTGTGTGTGTGTGGTCACACACTCCTTTCTGTGGGTGGTAAGGTCCTGGCCAAGGTGATGCTTCATAGACTGATTAACAACATCACTGAGTCAATGCTGGCTGAATCGCAGTGTGGATTTAGGAAGAATAGGAGCACGATTGACATGATCTTCACAGCCCGGCAGCTTCAGGAAAAGTGCCGGGAGCAACATCAGGACATGTTTATGGCCTTTGTCGATCTCTCAAAAGCATTCGACACCATGCAAAGATAGCTCTTATGGGATGTACTCCTCAGGTTTGGCTGTCCCAATAAATTTCTTAACATCCTCCGCCAGTTCCATGATGGGATGACTGCTCGGGTGTCCATAGGCGGACAAGAGTCCGAGCCCTTCCTTGTGCACACAGGGGTGAGGCAGGGGTGTGTGCTAGCACCAGTGCTCTTGAACATCTTCCTCCTGTGTGTCACCAAGCTTCTCCACAACGAGATTGAAAATAGCAGTGGCTATCTTTAATATAAGGAGGCTACACGCAACTAAAAAACTCTGTAGAGAGCGGGTTCTGGAGCTGCAGTATTCAGACGACTGTGCTTTTGTGGCCCATACTCCAGAGGACCTTCAAACTGTCCTTGTTGTGGCGGTTAGGGCGTACAGCAGGATAGAGCTCACTGTCAACTCCACCAAGACAGAAGTGGTTTGCCAATGGAGTACCAATGTCCCACCCACACTACCTGCCTTCACTGTCAGAGATGAACACCTGTCAGTAGTGCCATCTTTTAAATATCTGGGGAGTATTCTCGCTGAGGACTGTGGCATCGACAACGAAATCCAGAACCGCATTAAACAGGCATCAGTTGCCTTTGGGAGACTTCAGCGTAGAGTCTTTCACAACAAGAATCTTCATCCCTCCACAAAGCTCGCCGTATACCAAGCGGTCTGTGTCACCACCCTCCTTTATAGCTGTGAAGCTTGGGTAACCTACAGCCGTCACATCAGGTCCCTAGAGCACTTCCATATAAGCTGCCTTCAGCGCATTCTGGGAGTTACCTGGCGTGATCGTGTGCCTCACACTGAAATACTTAAAGGGGGGGTACAATGCTGTTTCATGCATTCAGAGTTGTTTACACTGTTAAAGATTTGGATTCTCATGCTAAGCATGGACAAAGTTTCAAAAAACAATTTGGACGTATGACAGAGTATTTCTGTGCCAAAAATCATACTTCCGGGTTCGTACAAGTTTCAGAGAGTTTTTTTCGATCGTGTTTGATACTGAAAGATGGAGCCGTCGAGCTTTAAAAGATCCCGGTCATGATTCAGAACTGCAGACGGTAAGTGAAACGGCATCAAATGTCTATTTTGTTGGCATTCGGCGCCCAAGTGCTCGTCACTCTTTAGCTTCGCCCACGGCGCACCTCCAGGAGCTCGGCTTTTTCCGGAGAGAATCGAATGATCACCCAGCGCCAGCTGCAGTGGTTAGGCACGTGATAAGGATGCCCCCATGTCGACTGCCCCGCAGAGTGCTACACGGCCAGCTACATCATGGTCGACGTTCAGCTGGGCGGGCCCAAGAAGCGATATAAGGATCAGATGAAGAACACCTTGAAGAAGTGTAAGACCAGACCCGAGGACCTGGAGGATGTTGCTGCTGACCGTACCATCTGGCAAAAGCTGTGTAGAGATGGGGTTCGTACGCTGGAGATGGAGAGGACAATCAGAAGCTGTATCTTTCTTTTATAAATATGATAAAACTAAAGACTTTTTGGAGATATGAAGGATGCAGTACTACTCTATAGGCACTCAAGATTAACATGAGATTGGGTGAAACTGTGTGTGTTATGCCCCCTTTAAAAAGACCAACTGTAGAAGTATTGAGGCCATGATCACCCAGTGCCAGCTGCAGTGGTTGGGGCACGTGATAAGGATGCCCTCATGTCACCTGCCCCGCAGAGTGCTACACGGCCAGCTACATCATGGTCGACGTTCAGCTGGGGGGGCCCAAGAAGCGATATAAGGATCAGATGAAGAACACCTTGAAGAAGTGTAAGACCAGACCCGAGGACTGTGTGTGTGTGTGTGTGTGTGTGTGTGTATGATTGTGTGTGAGTGTCTGTGTGTGTATGATTGTGTGTGTGAGTGTGTCTGTGTGAGTGTATGATTGTGTGTGAGTGTATGATTGCGTGTCTGTGTGTGTGAGTGTGTCTGTGTGAGTGTCTGTATGATTGTGTGTGTCTGTGTGTGTATGATTGTGTGTGAGTGTCTGTGTGTGTGTGTGTCTGTGTGAGTGTCTGATTGTGTGTGTGTGTGTGTGTGTGTGATTGTGTGTGTGTGTGTGTGTGTGTGTGTGTATGATTGTGTGTGAGTGTCTGTGTGTGTATGATTGTGTGTGTGAGTGTGTCTGTGTGAGTGTATGATTGTGTGTGTCTGTGTGTGTGTATCTGTGTGTGTATGATTGTGTGTGAGTGTCTGTGTGTGTATGTGTATGATTGTGTGTGAGTGTGTGTGTGTGTGTGAGTGTCTGTGTGTATGATTGTGTGTGTATGATTGTGTGTGTGTCTGTGTGTGTGTCTGTGTATGATTGTGTGTGAGTGTCTGTGTGTGTGTGTGTGTGTGATTGTGTGTGTGTATGTGTGTGTGTGTGTCTGTGTGTGTGTGTGTGTGTGTGTGTGTGTGTGTGTGTTTGTGTGTGTGTGTGTGTATGATTGTGTGTGAGTGTGTGTATGATTGTGTGTGAATGTCTGTGTGAGTGTATGATTGTGTGTGTGTGTGTCTGATTTTGTGTGTGTGTGTGTGTGTGTATGATTGTGTGTGTGTGGGAGTGTGTCTGTGTGAGTGTATGATTGTGTGTGTCTGTGTGTGTGTATCTGTGTGTGTATGATTGTGTGTGAGTGTCTGTGTGTGTGTGTGTGTGTGATTGTGTGTGTGTATGTGTGTGTGTGTCTCTGTGTGTGTGTGTGTGTGTGTGTGATTATTCAGCTCCTGCTGTAATCCAGCAGATGCGTTCTCAGCTAAACAGACTCAATCGCGATGTCTTTCAGATCTGTTGTGTTGTGTTTGAGCAGGTGTGGTGGAAGCGTGTGTTCTTCACGGCCTGAAGCGACGGGCCGCTGGTTTCCTGCGCAGCAACAAGCTGACGGCTCTCTTCATGAAGGTGGGGAAGATGTTTCCACCAGCCGAGGAACTCTGCAGAAAAGTTCAGGAACTGGAGCAAATCATCGAGAACAAGTGAGAAACAATACAAAGTGCTCGTATGCAATACAAGTGTTTCCTTTCTATGCTCCTTTTCCATATAATAATACATGACATTTAATAAAAATAATAATTATAATACGCATGTTATTATATTCATTTTAATCTATTATTATGATTATGTTTAGATCAAATTCTCAGATTTCTGGCATTATCCTGTGATTTTTGTCTGTTCCTTATCCTTAGAAAGGTGTTATATAAATGAAAAATATAATAATAATGATAATAATAATAAAAGCTATTATTATTATCATTACAAGAATATTATTATATTTTAATTATTTATTTATATATTTTATTATTAATAATTCTACTACTAATAATAGTAGAAGTTATAGTATTATTATTAATAATATTATTGCTATGTTTAGGTAAAATTCTCACATTTCTGACATTATCTTGTTACTTTTCTTCTTAAAGGTGCTATATAAATGAAACATATAATAACAATAATAAAAATAAATGTAAAAATAATTAAGAAAAAGAATACTATTGTATTTATTTATTTTTAATCAATTATATAAAAAATATAAATACATATAATTTTATTCAATTATATTTATTATTAATATAATTATTATGTCTATTTATATTTAATAGTTCTTAATATTGTTAGCAATAATACTAATTATTATTATTATTGAATTAGTAATCTAAATATTTCTGCTGGTTTAAAATGAATGACGATTGTGGACTGATGAATCGTGTATTTGAGTATTGAGTATCTATAGTAAATAGGGTTAATTAATTTGATTTCATTCAATTTGACTTTACAACACAAGACAAAATCAGGGTCAGATGAGTCAAGAGAGCGTCCGGAAACAGCCCAGGCCACTCAGCCTGTCGCCGCTGGCCATCAAACACCTGTGGATCCGCACGGCGCTCACACAGAAGCTGCTGGACAAAATCGTCCTGTACTTGGTGGAGAACAGCAGGTGAAGCATTCATGACAGATAGAGCTTCTATATACTAGCTCGCACACTGCTTGGCTGACACAGTATGCAGTGATAAAACTGCATGTTAAATTTAGCGAGTGGCATTCAAATAAAAACTATTATTTTGCATATTTAATCCAGTTTTGTGTACACGTTTCATAGTTCATGGGCAGGTGTTTGAAATGAGGCTTCCAGTTACACGTACACTTAGTTTGTTACAATGGAAATGGAAAATATGCAAACTAGGCAGCAGTATGTGAACATCGATTCAACTGAATGAATTAAATTAAACGTGTGTTTTTATTCATATTTCAGCAAGTTTTATGAAAGAGAAGCTCTTCTGAGAGATCCAGTTGACGGGCCAATCCTCGCATCTTTGCTTGGTATCAGTTTGTTTTTTTTAATTGAATATTATGTATACACTACCATTGAAAAGTTTGGGATCAGTAAGATCTTTAACCTGTAAATTTAGCGAGTGGCATTCAAATAAAAACTATTATTTTGCATATTTAATCCAGTTTTGTGTACACGTTTCATAGTTCATGGGCAGGTGTTTGAAATGAGGCTTCCAGTTACACGTACACTTAGTTTGTTACAATGGAAATGGAAAATATGCAAACTAGGCAGCAGTATGTGAACATCGATTCAACTGAATGAATTAAATTAAACGTGTGTTTTTATTCATATTTCAGCAAGTTTTATGAAAGAGAAGCTCTTCTGAGAGATCCAGTTGACGGCCCAATCCTCGCATCTTTGCTTGGTATCAGTTTGTTTTTTTTAATTGAATATTATGTATACACTACTATTGAAAAGTTTGGGATCAGTAAGATCTTTAACCTTTTAGGAGAAATCGCTTCTGCTTTTATTTGATACAAATATAGTAAAAATGTGGAAATATTATTATAATTTAAAATAGCTGTTTTCTATGTGAATATCTGTTAAAGTATAATGTATTTCTGTGATCAAAGCTGAATTTTCAGTGTCACATGATCTTCAGAAATCATTCTAATATGCTGATATGTGTGTGTGTGTGTATGTAAATTATCATTTTAAATTGTATATTATAGTGTAATTGGGATATTATGATGCATAGAGGTTAAAGGGTTAGTTCAGCCAAAAATGCAAATTCTGTCATTAATTACTCACCCTCGTGTCGTTCCAAACCCGTGAGACCTTCGTTCATCTTCGGAACACAATTTAAGATATTTTTGATGAAATCCGAGAGCTCTCTGACCCTCCCATAGACAGCAAGGTAACTACCACGTTTAAGCTCCAGAAACGTACCAAGATGATCGACAAAGTAGTCCGTGTGACGTCAGCGGTTCAACTGTAAAGTTACGAAGCTACGAGAATACTTTTTTGTGCAAAGAACCGCGCGTCCTCAAGTGACGCAGTAGAGACGAAAATGTGGAATAAAGTCATTATTTTTGTTTTCTTTGCGCAAAAAAGTATTCTCGTAGCTTCGTAACTTTACAGTTGAACCGCTGACGTCACACGGACTACTTTGTCGATCATCTTGGTACTTTTCTGGAGCTTGAACGTGGTAGTTACCTTGCTGTCTATGGGAGGGTCAGAGAGCTCTCGGATTTCATCAGAAATATCTTAAATTGTGTTCCGAAGATGAACGAAGGGGTCTCACGGGTTTGGAACGACACGAGGGTGAGTAATTAATGACAGAATATTCATTTTTGGCTGAACTAACCCTTTAAGATTTTGTCCGAACGCTGTGTTTCATTCAGTCGGTCCCTGTGCTTTGGAGTACACAAAAGCGAAGACGGCCAATCATTTCTGGACAGACCCCTCGGCTGATGAACTGGTGCAGAGACACCGCATTCACAGCGGACACTGCCGGCAAGATTCCCCCACCAAACGCCCGGCTCTCGTAAGACGTCCAGCATTTAATGTTCATTTCTCAAATCAAAACCCATGCATCTCTGTTAGACGGCAGTGAGATCTCAAAGTGTTGTTTTGTAGATCCAGAAGAGGCAGTCGAGCGGCAGTATGGATGACCGGCCGTCTCTCTGGGCGCGGGATTACGTCGAGTCTCTTCATCAAAACTCCAGAGCCACGCTGCTCTTCGGGAAGAACAATGTCCTGGTGCAGCCGGTACGTCAGCTGGGAAGCGTTACTTAGACGTGCGTGACGATACTCTAGCCATAATGCACTTTAATTGAAGTGTGGCAGTAAATCTCACGCGGTCTTTCAGACAGACGACATGGAAGCAATCCCAGGATACCTCTCTCTTCACCAGACGGCCGATCTGATGACGCTCAAATGGACACCGAACCAGCTGATGAACGGAAACATGGGGGAGTTTGATTATGAGAAAAGGTGACGCGTGTTATGATTGTGACATCTGCTTTGTGGGAATGTTATTTTTCATATGTGTGTCCATCTGACTGATGTCTGAAGCAGGATGATCGTGAATATGATGCTAATTGACTTTCTCGATGCTAAAGTGGTGCCGGAGCTCATGGATCAGACGGTGAACTTGTGGCAGCCCGCTCCCAGGAAGTCGTCTTGTTCCTCCTGTTCGCAGAACGGCTCGTCAGACGGTGGACTTCCCAACGGATGCAACCATGACAGGCTAGTCTGCCGCTCGTCTGAGTCTGTAGCTATAGGCCAATTATAGGTTTGTAAACATTCAGGATGCTCGTGCATCATGGTTGCAGAAAACCCGGGAGAGATAGCCTTTACAGCTAGAGACTTTCACGGATAGGGTACTAAATAGTTAGGTTTAAAAAGATTATAAATTATATTGATTAGATGTCATTTTCAAAATGTTATTCAACGAAATTGATGTTAGAGTGTGCGATAGTCTTACAGATCCCAAACAGGGGTGACATTTTTTGTGGGCGGAGCCTATCTGGAGGCAGAAAATTACGGTTTTCAAGCGGCAGTCTATGGAGCCATGCAATAAAAGAATTTTTTTTAAAAAGTAAATTTGATTTTATATTTCAAAATTCTGACTTTATTCTCAAAATTCCGAGATTATAAAACAACTCGTCATTCTCTCTTTTCCCCTCAGATTTGACAAACTCACTATTTTTGAGTTAAGTCGAGTTATAAAGTACGAATTAGGAGATATAAACTTGCATTTGCGAGAAAAAAAGTCAGAATTGTGATTGTGAAATAACTCAAACATATGTTTTTGTCTGTCCTCTGATAAGCATTGTTCAGGGCTGCCGTTCCCAAAAGCTTTAATGCTTTCTTATGATACTTTTGTGAAACGCAGCCCTGTTTGAATGCACTGTCAGCAGTGAGTGAACGCTCTGTGATTGATTAGTTCTGTCTTGCAACATTTGCGTGTGTTCAGATGAGCAGGAAAATAGTTATATCCTACACAATTACTTGCGAACAAAGGTTATTTGTTCAATTCAATGCATTTGTACGCATTATTATTATTATTATTTTAAATAAACGAAATCACTGGTAAATAAAACACACCTTAGTATCGATATTTTTAGTTTGAGTATCGATACTTTCGATACTCGCGTCAGTATCGATATATCGATACTTAGGATCGATATGCCCATCCCTAGTTAATGGAAACTCCGTCATTTTCGCAATACTTTTTCATTTAGAAAATATCGCCAAAGTTTTGCGCAAATCTGCCTTATGTTTCCATCACCCTATTTTTATGTGCATTTTGAAGTATCGCATGAGAGACGAGTGATGGAAACGCCAAATTTCGAATAAAAATCCCTTAATTCGCAAAAACGTTTTTACGCTCGCTTGAGGTGGTTTTTGACTTGTGCGAAAAAGGGTTGATGCGAATAATGGGAGATGGAAATGCATTTTCCATAAATTCCTCCAAGCGCATCAAAAAAGTCATGTGACTGCGCTATGGGAGGGAAAAACCTGACTAACTCTCATTCCACAGCATCTGAAATGTTGTTATGGTCAGTGTTGGGGGTAAAGCCTCCAAGTGCATCAAAAAAGTCATGTGACTTTGCGCTATGGGACGGAAAAACTAACCAGTGGACCGATCTCATTCCACAGCATCTGAAATGTTGTTATGGTCAGTGTTGGGGGTAAAGCATTATAAGTAACGCGAGTTACGTAATCAGATTACTTTTTTCAAGTAACTAGTAAAGTAACGCATAACTTTTTAATTTACAAGAACATATCTGAGTTACTTTTTCAAAGAAGTAACGCAAGTTACTTTTTTCTCCAATGTATTGACTGACAGCTCTCCTGTCCCCATGCTGAGAGAAATCAGAAGATGTTACTGTAGTTCTAAAATAAATATGCATTAATGCATCTCACTCACACAAAAACACCAACACAGATTCAGTATTCCTCAAAATGAATAAAAATAATGCAACTCAGAATGACGCAAACCTGCAATAATTAAATGTTAAACAACACAAATATGCTTTATGTATTTAATCCCATTCTAATAACCAATGTCTTTGCTTCTGACCTTCGATGATTCAGTTCAACCGTACTAATAAGCACAAATTACTCTAGTCTTTTTTATTGCTGAAGTGTGTCTTCTTCTGCATTCTACTGTACAGACGTAAATGTACTTTACCTTCAGCCTGAGGCTTATTCATCTCACTTTTGGTGTGAAAAGGCTTTTATATTTGCCAAAAATATAACTTTTTTATTTTAAAAGCAAACAAGCAAGCCCTGTCCAGATTTAAAAAGTAACATAAAAGTAACGTATTACTTTCCATAAAAAGTAACTAAGTAACGTAATTAGTTACTTTTTTATGGAGTAACGCAATATTGTAATGCATTACTTTTAAAAGTAACTTTCCCCAACGCTGGTTATGGTCATTCGGAAATGCACGAGCAAAGTCTGTCATCAAAGTATTTCTGTATAATTGCCTCCCAGAGATGTCTTACACGACTGCGTTCCCAAACAGCAGCATCCACCTTCGAAAGCAATGACCGCATTCATTGTGTTTTTTAATTTATCATATATGAAAATTATTATATTCTCCAACTTTTCTAAGTGATTTATAGTGCCAGTTTATCAGGAAGTGACGATTTTGTTCTATTTGACTTGTTGGATGGAAACGATGCTTGTTCGCAAACGTTTTAATGCGATATTCCAGTTTTGCGCAGAAGTTAACTTCGCAACTTTGGATGGAAACCTGTTTGATATGAATGAGCGCAGCGTGACTGCAGATGTCTCTGTGTGTGAAACAGGGCGCCGCTGAAGCTGCTCTGCGAGACCATGAAGCACCAGATCATCTCCCGCGCTTTCTACGGCTGTACGTATCACGTCAGGCTCATGGTCTGCTGATGCACTCAAGCTCTTTCTCACGATGTGATGTGTGTGTTTTTAAGGGCTGGCGTACTGCCGTCAACTGTCCACCGTTCGCACGCACCTGTCTGCTCTGGTGAACCCTGCTATCATTGAGCCCGACCTCCCTTATAATGCCAGAGGCGGTCTGTCTGCAGACGTGTGGAAGACCTTTCTACAGGACAGCACTGTATGTGACCTTCACTATCTAGTGCACTTGATGTTTCATAAATGATCAGTTGAAATGTTCTGTACAGCAGGGTTATTCTAGTGAACTCAAACCATGGAAAACGCTGACTTGAAATGATAAACGTTAACTGAAATAATGTAAAATATTAAAACAATACTTTCAACTAGTAGCTAAGAATTGTTTTTTTTTGTTATTTAGTTGACTTGATGTACTAAAATTAGATTTATCTCAGCGATACTTGAAAAAATATTAAAAATATTAATAATAACTATCATAGTATCTCAGTGATTTTATATGTAATCATAAAAACATACCTAAAATATTAATACAAATTATAATTTAGTTATTATAATTATAATAGTATTTCAATGATACTGAAAATATATGAATATATGAAAATGATATATGAAAATATTAATCAAAACTATAATATATTTCCAAAGATATGGTTACTATAAAAATATACTTAAAACTATAATAGTATCTCTATTATATGATGTAGTATGATGCTATGTTACCTTTAAAATATATTTAAAATCTTAATAAAAATTATAATAGAATCTCAATGATATTATATTACCATCAAAACCTATTCAAAATGTTTATAAACATTATAACAGCATCTCAGTGCTATTATATGTAATCATAACATACTTAAAATATTAATAATGATACTCAATGATACTGTTACTGTAGAAACATTGAAAATATGAATAAAAACTATAATATTATCCCAAAGATACTGTTACTATAAAAACATATTTAAAATATCAATACAAATTCTAATAGAATCTCAATGATAGTATGGTACTGTAAAAAACTATTGAAAATATTAATAAAAACTATAATAGTATCTCAATGATACTGTTACCTTAAAAACATATTTAAAATATTAATAAAACAATAATAGTTTCTCAATGATACTGTTACCTTAAAAACATATTTAAAATATTAATAAAACAATAATAGTTTCTCAATGATACTGTTACCTTAAAAACATATTTAAAATATTAATACAAATTTTAATAGTAACTCAATGATACTATGTGTTACTGTAAAAACAATTCAAAAATAGTTTATTAACAATTATATTGTTATAAAGACATAATTTAAAGAAAATCTATTTAGTATTTAAATTTTAAAAAATCTAATAGGATCTCAATGATACGGTCACCTTAAAAACATACTTAAAATATTAATAAAAATTATAATAGTATACTATCCAAATGCTCTTACCTGTTAAAAAAACATTAAAAATATTAATAAAACTATAATATTATTCCGAAGATACTGTTACTATAAAAACATATTGTAAATGTGAATGAAAGCTGTGATAGTATCTCTGCTGTGCAGGCGTACGAGGAGGAGGCGCTGCTCCGGCTGGTGTATTACGGCGGCGTGGAGCCGTCTCTGCGTAAAGAGGTCTGGCCCTTCCTTCTGGGCCACTACCACTTCAGCATGAGCCTCGCAGAGCGCAAAGAGGTGAGCCGAAGTCACTGTCTGATCCATAGACCAGACGGACGCAGGAGGAGCATAACCCTGCCGTTCTCCGCAGGTGGACGAGCAGATTCGAGCATGTTACGAGCAGACCATGAGCGAGTGGCTGGGATGTGAAGCCATCGTGCGTCAGCGGGAGAAGGAGCAGCACGCCGCCGCTCTGGCCAAATGCGCATCCGGTGCCAGCGTGGACCGCGGCTTGCGCCAAGACTCCACCATCAGCACGGATGTAAATGCTGACGCTCAAAAGGGCTGGGACAATAAACCGTTTCGTGGATCGATTCTGAGATTATCGGAATGCATCGTGATTCTCTCTGGAATCGATTCTGAGCTTAGCTTTTAATAGCGGATGGCGCTCTAGGCTAGTTTTTAACCTCCTGGATCTTTCTGCAGCGTTCGACACTGTTGATCACGGGATACTTCTCAACCGGCTACATCACTCCATTGGACTTAATAACATCGTCCTGCGCTGGTTTGAGTCATACCTCACGGACAGATCTGAGTTTGTGGCCATGGGAAACTCAAGGTCCCGTTCACATGCTGTTGGATGCGGGGTTCCACAAGGATCAATTCTCGGACCTATTTTATTCATTCTCTACATGCTCTCCCTTGGCATCAGTCCTTTGGGAATTTCCTTCCATTGTTACGCTGATGATACACAACTATATATGAAAGCTGATACTCACTCATCATCATCATCGTCATCGTCATCATCATCATCATCAGCAACTTTATCTACACTCACTGCCTGTCTGGAGGAGATAAGGGCATGGATGAATCATAACTTTCTCCAGCTGAACAGCTCAAAAACAGAAGCCATCCTCATTGGTTCCCCTCATCAGATCAGAACATCTGCCATAACTTGCATTATATTTTCTGGCCAGGACATTCCCTTATCACCATTAGTCACCAATCTCGGTGTTAGGTTTGACCCTCATTTAACCTTTGAGGCTCACATTAAACGTCTTTGCAAAACATAATTTCATCACCTCAGGAATATAGCCAGACTTCGTCCTACACTCACCTTACATGATGCTGAGAAACTCGTCCACGCCTTTTGTCTCCTCCAGACTGGACTACTGCAACTCTCTTCTCATCGGGATCCCTAGCAAGAGCATCCTGAAACTCCAGCACATACAAAATAGTGCCGCTAGGATCCTGAGGAGAGTGCGTAAATACGAACACATCACACCAATTCTTCAGTCATTACACTGGCTTCCCATTTCCGCCCGCATTGAATACAAAGTCTCCCTCCTCACACATCAGTACATCCATGGCAATGCTCCCATTTACCTTAAAGAACTCCTCACCTCACAGATTTCAGCACGTTCTCCCCGTTCCACAAACACTTATCGTCTTCTCGCCTCTAGGACTAAGACTCGCACCATTGGGGATCAAGTCTTTTGGCACACTCAAATGCTCACGAAGAAGAGCGCTTGTGCGTTCGGCTGAGTAATGTAAGTGGTTAACTGTACTTGGCTACTTGCACATCGGTTTTTATGATGCGAGATTAACGTAAACACAGCCCACTGTGAACATCCTTGTAATTCGCTTCCTAGGGCTAGCGTAGGTCACCGATTGGCAGACAGAATCACAGGGGCGAGACGAGAGGGAAAAATCCAGGAAAACAGGCAAAGATCAGAAATCGCAAAAACAGGCAAGGCAAAACAAGGAAAACACGGAGACTCGGAAAGGGGTACAGGCTAAACAATACTCAGAGAATGGTGGTTTGAGTGGGTGTTATATAGGGAGGGAGGTGATAAGAAACAGCTGTGTGCAATGAGAGCAATCAGTGCAGTGTGCAAACCGTACAATGAATGATAGGATATGTAGTCCGGGGTGCTATGCAACAGTTTGTGTTGTGCGAGAGTCAATGTAATGGAAAGGGTGACCTCTGGTGGTGAATAAACGGAAGTCCATGGACCGAATTCGTGACACACGCAGTGCCATCTGCTGTTGAAAACAAAGCTCAGAATCGATTCAAGAGAGAATCACGATGCCTTCGGAAAATCTCAGAATCGATGCAGAATCATTTCTCGATTCGCGATGCATCGATTTATTGTCCCAGTCCTAACGCTCGAGTGGCCTGTAAATGTGCGCTGCGGTTTGCATGCAGCTTTACTGAATGCCTTTGTGTTTCTCTCTCCAGTCGTCTCAGACCAGCAGCAGCAGCTCCGATAAACAGAGTCACGCCGGATCACACAGCCAATCCAACAGCAGCACTCAGGTCAGACGCCTCACGTTCAACACAACCGACGTTATTGCTCTCGCAGATCTTATTAATGCTTTGTCTCAGGTGCTTCTCTTAAAATAAGGAGACACAAATAGCTGTCATACAATATGAATGCAGAGCTATAAACTGAACGTAGAGCAGCTCAGCTCATGTGATCTTTCAATTTACTGAGAAATCTCTGACTTTTGGAATTTCATTTCATTTTAAGCAAAAAAAAAATCTATGTAATAAAAATCAAGTTTTTTAATAACTGAATAAATAATTTAATTTAATAAAATGCAATGGGTATTTACTTTCGTAATAAATGTTTCTTTAAAAATGTCACAAGAAAATGTGTTTGTCTTAATAACCTTTCGTAATAATAATAATATCTTTCCCCATCTCTGAAATAACTTGTTTTATCTGTTGATGTAACCAAGTTCATGTGGGCAGGGATAAAATAATGTTCACCAATAATATCGTAACCTGATATTTCATATTTCACAAATCTAATTTAATTAAATGTAATTTTAATAAAGCATCATTTTAATTTAATAGATTACATTTAATCAAATGCTATGGATATTTACTTGATTAATACACTTTTTAAAAATTATAATATTTTATTATATAATTATAATTGTAATCATTTCTTTAAAAATATAATAATTTTTAAAAACATGTTCCAATTAAAAAAGTGCTTGTCTTCATAATCATTCATCAAAACAAAAACTTTTTCCATCTAGCTTTTGCTGCTCACATAACCAGTATAATTATATTATGCTATATGTGAGCATAAAACAAAATAATATAACATATGATATTTCATATTTAACAAATACTGATGTATGATGTTTACTCCTAAAATAAGGAGAAATATAAACAGACATAAATTATTTATTAGTCAGTAAGATAAGAGTCTTCATGTTTACTGTAATGTAAATGTTTACATTAATTTAAAAATTAAATAAAATAATTGGTGTGGTTACTTTAATACATTTATTTAAAATTATAATAATTGTAAATATTTCTTTAAAAATATAATTTAATAATCTTTCGCCAAAAAACAACTTCTTCTATTTCTGATATACTTTTACTGCTCACATAACCAGTTTAGTTATAGTAATTTATATACTGTAATATGCTGGTTTCAGGTTGATTTTCTTCCTCCTGTCTATTTCTCCATCCGCAGGTGTTCGGCTCTGTAGACGAGGCGGACCCGATCGAATCTGAGCCCAAACCCAAAGACGAGAAGCCGCAGCCCAAAATCCCAAACGGCGCTCTGCCCAACTGCACCAGTTCTCCAGACTCCGGACACCCGTCGTCCCGTAACTTCTCCGTGACCTCGGCGCTCTCAGACTGCTCTCCGAGCACAGAGGAGACATCCACGCAAGAGTCGGGGCCCAAATCCGCTGGCCAAGGGCCGCCATCAGGAGACCAGACGGATGAGAAGACCAAAGAGGAGCGACCAGAAAACCGCTCGACTACTCAGGACACGGTCAAAGAAGATGCTGTAGATTCACACACAGAGAGCGCTGCTTCAGAAGCTGCGATAAAACCTCTGGAAAGTGACAAGCTGCAAACTTCGAACGCAGAGGAATCATCTCGGGACATAGAGTCAGAAGACGCAAACTCAAAAAACGCAGCTGAAATGAAAAACAGTGCCAGGAAATCTGAAGAAAATGACACGAATGAATCAAAAGATCCTGTTGAAGACACAACAAAGTCCACAGAGTCGAAAGATCCACGACGTGCGTCTTCGCCGTCTGGAGAAGAAAACACAAAATCTAAGACTGACCCAAAACTGGCTTTGAAAGTGGACGAAGGCCAAGACGCAGACTTCGAATCGCTGGACATTCTGAAAATCTCTCAAACGGATGAAAACAAGCCTGTGGCTTTGGGAAAACACACATCTGAACCGCAGAATGTGACACAAACCCAGAATGAAGCCGAAACTATCAGCCGGGACGCCGATCACAGCAGGACCCGATCGATCATCAGACAAATGACCGAATCCGAGTCGGAGAGCTGCGGTCCCATCACCTCCCTATCGAAACAATCTCCAGACATGTCTGACGACTCGCCCTCGGCGCTGGAAATGGAGGAGATTGCTTCGTCGGTGGTTTATATGTCCTCGGAGAGCAGCGTGTCCAGGACGCCTCTGATTTTGGCTCGTCCCGTGGCGCCGGCTCTGGAGCTCTGCATGGAGCCGGGGGTCAACACAAGTCCGGAGGGAACGGACTCGGCGCTCTCGGAGGAGGAACCGGAGATGGACAACTTATTCCCCAAACCAGACTCTCTAGCCGTCACAGGAGACAAGAACGACATCGCATCTCCAGTGTCATCTATCGGGACGACCTACTCGGTAGGGTTGGGTACCGAACTCTGTACTTTTAAGGGTACCGACCAAATTGCGTCGGTACTACCGAGTACCGATTCACGTTAAATCAATTGGTGCCACATTTCGGTACCTGAGAACGCATCTTGGCGCATACGCTACAGAGAGAGAAAGAGAAACCCTGTGACGTGAGGTCACCCCTGCATCTCATTCAAACAACACACAGGGCAAGCCGAAATGTTCTGAAGCGTGGTTATATTTCTAGGGCCATATGGTTTCTGCAAAAACGTGGACGGGATCGCGGAGTCCATTCATAAAAACGTAATTTACTCTATAGCGCGGAATGCCACAGAATTCGTCAATTTTTGGACGAATAAATCAAAAGTAGGTCTGCCACTTAAAGGGTTAGTTCACCCAAAAATGACAATTAGGCTGTGTTTTACTCACCCCCGAGGCATCCTAGGTGTATATGACTTTCTTCTTTCAGACGAATCCAGTCGGAGTTATGTTAAAAATTGTCCTGGCTATGCCAAGCTCTATCATTGCAGTCAGCAGGTGTTGCATGCATCAGTCCAAAAGAAGTGAAATAAAAAGCGCCCATCCATAAAAAAAGTGTCTCACACGGTTCCGGGGGCTGAACAAAAGCCTCCTGTAGCGAATCAATGCGTTTTTGTAAGAAAAATATCCATATTCAAAATGTAATAATCACTTGAATCTAGCTTGCGCTCACTGTCGTACACAGAAGTAGTTCCGGGCGGATGACGTATGAGGTCAGCGTGCAATGATAGTGCTTGGAATAGCCAGGACATTTTTTTATATAAATCCGCCTGGATTCATCTGAAAGAAGAAAGTCATATACACCTAGGATGCCTCGGGGGTGAATGTAAAACAGCCTAATTTTCATTTTTGGGTGAACTAACCCTTTAATTCTAATCACGATATGAACTAGTGTCTGTGAATGTTAAAACGCAAAAAGACGGTTTAAATATGAATCCTGCATGTTCCGCTTGCCTCTGTATGAAAGAATGGCGGAAACGCAGTTTTGTTTACTACACAAATACTGAAGCACGCATGACGCTCGCGGGGATTTCCGGCCTCTGCGTCTCACTATATGACGGCATGAACACAAAAACTTAATCTCCAGAGCTGCTGTGAGAGTCACTTCGCGAGAATTTTACCATTTCATTTGAGAAAACTAGCATCATCATACTGTATACACACACACAGAAACTTCATGGCAACCTGTCAAAATAAAAGTACGGTTTAACATGTAACAGAAATATATTACTTTTGTACAGTATAATGTACATCTTTAAATATTCAATTTTCTATAAAATTTAAATAAAACAACTAAATGATAAAAATAAATATTACAACCAGATTAATCACTTAATTGTAGAAATACATACAATTATTAGCCTATTAAAAAATGTTTTAAAGGAATATTCACACAATTTTTCTTCCGTGTATTAATTTCTACAGCAAACCTCAGTTTGTTTGCCAAAACATAAAAGGGTTTAATTTTCATTTGATTTAAAATAAATGTTTAATGCCTTCATTTGAGTTTCAGAAACATTTAAAAAAATAATTTCCGGGAAGAAAGAAAAAAAGAAAGAATAAAGTTTGTAGGGCCCTATTGAGACTTTTGGACTTATTTTTCCACTGAAATAAATGTTTTTGTAATTACACAGAGAATAAAGTACCGGAAAAAGGTAACGTTAGGTACCAGCACCGAAATTCAGGTACCGTACCGGTTAAAATGTGAATGGTACCCAACCCTACTACTCGGTATGGCACCAAAAACATAATCAGTGTAAAGGGATCGAGACATTGTGCCTATTAAACTTTATTTTATTTTTTGTGTATAGTTTAGTTTAGGACTTATATTTTAAAGGTCAGGATAAAGATAAGGATGGATGGATTAATAGGATAAAAGGATAGATAAATAAATAATAAATAAATGTGTATATATATATATATTAAGTTTAGTTTATAAATTTGAAATGAAAACAACTGGTTAAACAAATTAGTTATTTAGTTTAGTTTATGACTTGCATTGTCAAGATCAACGGTACCTGAAAATCAAGTAAAATAAATAATAATTCAAAATTATTTTTTAAATAAATAAAATACATTTGATTAATTTAATAAGTACTATTATTTTAGTTTAGTTTATGACTACCATTGCCAAGGTCAATGGTATGGAAGGTATTTTCTGCCAATTTTAAATAAATCAATTCAATTATAAAAATGAAAACCAGATTAACAATTTCATTATAAAAAATATGTGCCCAATTTAAAAATGAAATGAAATTATTTAATTTTCATTTTAATTTTCTCTGTGACAATGCATTGTCCCTGTCAACTTGAAAAATAAATAAAAAAATGCAGCTGGTGATTTGTTATTTCATTTGGCAAGACCGCCAATATTAAAATGAAAAGGCAAACGTGAAAAAGAAAATGCAAATACAGTTTTTACAAAGCTTTTTATTAATGCTCACACAATAATAGTGACACAATTCAAATTAAAATGTAAAGTTTAGTTTTAAAATACCTTCCATACAATGGGAACTTAAAATAAAATATGTATTTTTTTAATAAATAAATAATATTTTAGTTTAGTTTATGACTTCCATTGTTTTTTTTAACTATTTGAAACTAGTATGTTTTTGTGTTTATTTACCTTCTCTTTTTTTGTGAATTTTGGTTCTAGTTTTGATTCTCTTTCTCCCTTGGTTCTATCTTGGCTATACAGAGGATCATTTTTATGTTTTTTTTATTTTATTTTATTTTGTGACCACAAGACCGCAAACTCCAAAAAGCATCATGGAAGTCGCTAATAGGACTCATGTACTATATTTCAAGTCTTCTGAAGTCATTCAATAGCTTTGTGTGAGGCACAGACCCAAATTTAGCTTATTTTTTGCATTCCTTTAAACGTGTTAAACATCTTATTTTGTGTTCCACTGAAGATAGAAGGTCATACAGGATTCGGCTCGTTTTTGGTTGAACCGTTCCTGTAAATGTGTGTGATCTTCACAGATTTATATTGTCTTCTTGTTTGTTTTACAGCAGGAGCTGGTGGACCTGTACACACTCAATCTGCACCGCATTGACAAAGACGTCCAGCGATGTGACAGAAACTTCTGGTATTTCACCCCGGCCAACCTCGAGAAACTGCGCAACATCATGTGCAGGTAAAATAAAGCTGATCTTATATTTCAATTTATATTCTGCGTATACAGTCATTTATTTCTGTGATGTGCAGCTGTATTTTCAGCATCATTCCTCCAGTCTTCAGTGTCACATGATCTTCAGAAATCAGTATAATATGCTGATCTGCTGCTCGAGAAACATTTCTGATTATTATCAATGTTGGAAACAATTGTGCTGCACAATATATCTGTGGAAACTGTGATGCATTTCATTTTTCAGGATTCACAGATGAATAGAAAGTTCAAAAGAACAGCATTTCTTTGAAATGGAAATCTTTTGTAACATCGTAAATGTCTTTACTGTCACTCTTGATTTTTGATCAGTTGTTTGCAGAATGGAATGTAGTATTTTTAAAATTCTAAAAGTAAATGGGGATCTATTTTATTTTTGTATTTTAAGTTACGTTTGGCAGCACCTTGACATTGGATACGTCCAGGGAATGTGTGACTTATTAGCACCCCTGCTGGTCATCCTGGATGATGGTATGTTCATGAGTTGATGGGAAATTATTTAATGTGAATATTACAACAACAACAAAAAATTACCATTTTGCAGTTGCCAGTATTTCATAAAAGCAATACAAGTTTTACAGGCACCTTAAATACCCCTTGACCATAGATATTGTGATTTTAAACTAAAGCAATACACCTATTTTATATTGCCATGTGATTATTTGTTTCTGATTGTACATCAGAGGCCATGGCCTTCAGCTGCTTCACTGAGCTCATGAAACGCATGAACCAGAACTTCCCTCACGGAGGAGCCATGGACACACACTTCGCCAACATGCGCTCCCTCATCCAGGTTTACCCACAATCACACACACTTATGACACACACATGCTGCTGATGTTTTAGACTGTGTGTGTGTGTGTGTGTGTGTGTGTGTGTCATGATTCTGTCGCACCTCTTCAGATTCTGGACTCGGAGCTGTTCGAGCTGATGCAGCAGAACGGCGATTACACACACTTCTACTTCTGCTACCGCTGGTTCCTCCTGGACTTCAAGAGAGGTGAGCGCATTCGGCGTCTTGTTTAGACTGCAAAGCAAAACAAAAATGCTCATAAACATTACATGTTAAAGGCACAGTATGTAAGATTTTCATAATAGAATATCCAAAAACCCCTTGCACTTACGTTATCCCAAAAGTTCCCAAGGATTTGCAAATCCAGAGAAATCCAATTTTAAATAATGGCTCGCCTATCAATTTCGTAATATCCGCGCTATCGGTTTCCGCTTGTAGAAACTATGGCAACACACGTGGACAAAAATGCTGCTGCAGTTAAACTAAATCCATTACGGCAGTCGCGAATAAAATGAAAATGAAATGAAAAGTGTTGACTGCAGCATTCAATTTAGATCTGCTCAATGTTGCACCATGAATCTTTTCCCGTGTTTTTACAGTATTGCGCGTTATAACCAATCACACACACGAGTCTGTTGAGTTTATGGACGCAGCGGCCAATCAGAGGCGTTTAGACGAGTCGTCGCTGAAACACAGAGAGTTTTGAGAGCTAGATAGACAGCTTTACTGATTATGAGAGGAGTTTTTTTGAGAGTGCTTAAACTCGCGCTAGACTGAAGTCAGGCATACTGTTCTTTGACAATGTAACGTTAAACGTTCTGTTCTTTGCTCGCTTTCTCTATATAATTTATTCGCCGTTTGAATAACTTTGGAAGGTACAGGTAATACATTTTTTTAATTTATTACATCCATGAACATGAATCTGAAAACGACATCGTTCCACTCTCCTTCAAAGCGTCATCAAGCTTAGCCTTTGTTATTGTTTTGAAAAAGCGACCTCTAGCGGCGAAAACTTACATATTGTGCCTTTAACTAAATTAATATTAAATCATAAATAAATACAGTAAGGCTACTGGTAACTACATGGTAGCTACATTTGTGCTACAGACATGAAATAATCATTCTAAAAACACACTAGCGGCTACACCGGGTTTTTTTTGTTTTTTTTTAGAAACTATTATTTTTACTTCACTACCAGTGTTGGGGGTAACGCATTACAAGTAACGCGAGTTACAGCATTACTTTTTAATTTACAAGAGAATATCTGAGTTACTTTTTCAAATGAGTAACGCAAGTTACTTTTTTTCCCCAATGTATTGATTGGCAGCTCTCCTGTCTCCATGCTGAGAGAAATCAGATGTTGTTACTGTAGTTCTAAAATAAATATGAATATGCATTCATTCATCTCACTCACGAAAAAACAAACACAGATTCAGTATTCCTCAAAATGAATAAAAATAACGCAACTCAGAATATGA